ACTTTTTAAATTTGATTTTTTATTCTAAATTGGGTCAAGAATTTCGATGTGACCCTGAGGCAAAAGTTGCTCAGTTTATTTTTCTGCATAACATAGTTTTCTTTCGGATTTTTTGGAGTAGTTTTTTTTTTTTTTTTTTTTTTTTGCTGGGACCTTCCCTGGTCCTTGCACGGGCTGGCCACCCGGGACCCGGGCGGCCCGTCTGGTAGCCTAGATTGGTTGGGCTTAAAGAATTAGCCTTTCGAAATATAACGCCGCCCGGGCGTTATATTCGAATAGAGCGCCCGGGAGTTATATTCGAATAGAACGCCCGGGCGTTATATAGAATAGAATGCCTGGGTGTTATATGTGAATGTTCAATGGGCAGAGTGCCTTGTAGAGGTGGTATACATGGGTTTGAAAGGGTGGGGAGATTCGAATAGAACCCCCGGGCGTTATATTTGAATGTTCCATGGGCAGAGTGCCTTCGTAGAGGTAGTATACATGGGTTTGAAAGGGCGGGAAGGGGGATATAACATGGGTTTTAAAGGGGGTTGAAAGAGGTTTTGACTTCCAATGGGCATATTTCGGTTTGATTTTTTTTTTTTTTTTTTTTCAAGTTTATAAGGAATTCTGTAGTGACCCTCAGCCAAAAGACGGTCGAATTGCAATTCTGACAACATATTTTTTTTTTTTGTTTGTTTGTTTTCGGAATTTTGGGCCCCCACCGAAGTTGCCACCAATTTACTGATTATAACGCCCGCCGGGCGTTATATTCGTATACAATGCCCGACGGGTGTTATATTCGTATACAACGCCCGGGCGTTATTTTCGGTTGAAGACGGGAGTACAACTCTTTTTTTTTTTTTTTTTTTTTGAAACGGGCCCGGTGCCCATGGCTGATATTACGAATACCTACTAATTCATATTAGTGCTTAGTACATAAAAATAGGTACTACATACAGACAGTCTTCAATAGGAGCTGAATGAAGATACTATTTACTAGTGCTTAGTAAATGGAGTACTTACTGTAGTAAATAGTAAGTGCTAAGTTGCTAACTAGTAACTACCATTATGAGCGAGAGTGGAGACCATTATTTATGGCAGATTACAGTATTTACTATTTATAGGGTACTATTCACTAGTCTGTGCTGTCCAATCCAGCAGCCTATCTCATTTGGGTAAGGCACGCCAGTGGCATTCGGGAGGTCTTGGGTTCAATCCCCATTGGCCTCGTGTACGTTCCTGGGCAAGCTTGGTGCGCGCCACCTAGAGATAGGTTGTCGCTCCCCCGGAGTGGCATTGCGCAGGGGCTGCTGATGTTCGTAGGGGGAGGGAACTGGAGGGGAGGCACAACGACTGGCACAGCGACTGGTCCATCAAAGAAGCTGTTCGGTCCAAGTTCCCCTCCATACATAGGGTGATGGTCTTGTCACACTGAGGTAGGATAGTAGAGATAGGGGGTGCGCTAGGAGTATTGACGTGAGGATGGGATGGGAAGGTAGCCTGGTTCCTTCAGGACGACCATGGCTGACCACTCCTGGCGATCAATGTGTGCCTAGTAACCGGCCTCTACAACACCCTGGGCTTTTTTTTTTTTTTTTTTTTTTTCAAATTTTAAAAGAAGCTTGGTCCTGATGCTACCAGTTGACCCCTGGCTTGAGTTCAGCCCCTGGATTGAGAAGAGAGGGTTAACGGGGTTTCGGTGCAAAGTTCGGCGAAAATAGCACCCCTGGTTAACCACACGTGGGATAGAGCAGAGACTGCTGATGTGCATAGGGGGAGGGGATCGAAGGGGAGGGACAGCGGCTGGCCCATCGAAGAAGCTCGGTCCTGATGCTGCCCGCTGACCCCTGGCTGGTATCGCCCACCTGCAGGTTGGGTGCAGCCCACGCATGTTCCCTCGTTGGAGGCTTGAACTGGGCCTGGCTGCTACAGGGCTCCCCGTAATATAATACTATAATGATAATAAGCCCCAACATGCTCCCTTGTTGGGTCCAGATTTGACAGGTAATTGAATTGGTTGGGCCACCAGTACCTCCGAGCCTATTTTCGACAAGTCGTGGCCAGCACCTGAACTTTTAGGAGGCCGAGCCTGCCGTTGATAAATCTGATCGGCAGCCGTCGTTTCGTTTCGGCCTCCTGAAAGGTCGGAGGCCGAGTATTCTCGAACCGTCAAAAAAAAAAAAAAAAAAAAAAAAAAAAAAAAAAAAAAAAACAGCAAACAGCAGCAAATAGTGAGTACTGAGTACCATTATGAGTGAATGGAGAGACTATTTATTTAGAGCACATTTAGGGAGTATTCGCTAGTGCTTACTAAACAGTAGGCAGTAGAAAAGAGTAATTATTAAAAAAATAAATAAATAAATAAATAAATAAATAAATAAATAAATAAATAGTAATTACTAATTACTACGTACCAATACCATTATGAGTGAATGGAGAGACTATTTATTTGGAGCACATTTACGGAGTATTCACTAGTGCTTACTAAACAGTAGGCAGTAGTAAATAGTAATTACTACGTACCAATGATAGTAAGCGCTAAGTACCATTATAGGCAGGTGGAGATACCATTTATTTAGGGCACAAGGCAGTATTCTTTTCAGGGCACAATGGCACATGGCAGTACCAATTTAGGGCACATGTCAACATTTGCCGAGTATTCGCTAGTGCTTACTAAACAGTAAGCAATAGTACATAGTAAATAGTAAATAGTAAGTACTAAGCACACATAGTGAGCAGGTGGAGAGACTATTCATGTAAGGCACATGGCATTATTTATCAAGTCACTGGTGGCAGGAGAAAGGAAGAACCAGCGGAAAACGACAAACCCTAAACTCAAAGACAATGCGCGTCCCTCCTCTACTCTCCACATGCGCAAAAGACAAAAAACGTGGCGGCGTATATTTCCATGTTCTACGGGAGGAGTCATTCTCAATTTGCACAGTAAATTTTGGTGAGTTGTGGAGTGAGGCCCAATGGCATTATTTATAAAATAGCCACTGGTGGTGGGAGAAAGGAAGAACGAGTGGAAATTTAAACGACAAAGCCAACTCAAAGACAAAAGGGGAAAAAACAGAAAGGTCCCTGTCCCATATCAAGTAGTCGCTGGTGGCGACACCCTTGATATGTCATCATCATTTTTTATTTCTTATTTTTTTGGGGGGGGAATATATCATCTCACCGGCCCTAGGTAATTCAGAATTCTAGTATTTCACTCATATCTGCTTCCAGTGGAGTTTGAACTGGGGCCTGTATTTCCACTGTTCTGGGGGTGGTGTGTACCAACTGAGCTAGGCCAGTTGGTATCTTAGATTGTTTTTTTGTTCACTTTCCCCCCCCCCTTCATTTCCCTCTTTTTCTTTTAAAAAAGGACGACCGCCTTGAGATATCCTCACCCAGTCCCCCTGTAATTCATAAAATTATCGTTTCTCACCTGGAGCCAGGACCGAGTCCGACTGACTAGGTCCGATACGCTTGTGCTCCTCCTCCATTTTCGATCACGTGCAGCCGTCCGTGACATCCGTCAGTCGTTGATCCAGTAGCGTATCGACTGCTAGTGTCGATTGTCTTCGTTTTCGTGGAGGCAGCTGCCCATCGGCCAGTAGAACTTTTTTTAAATTCATTTGTTGGCCATTGAGTTGGCCACTTTGCATTGGCGCGAAGCTTCAATACTATTGGCCTTGTTCGACACCACTAGAAAACCCTTACATGTAAGGGTTTCATCGTTCCACCTCTCCCTAATGGCAAAAAAAAAGATGCGAACTGTTTTGACATTCGCTGGCGTAAGGGCGAGCCCTACAGAAATAAGGACTCCCCAGCCAAAACGGACGCAAACGTAAGGACGGCCGTGGAGGTGACTTGAAAGTAGGGGTGGCGCCCTTACTTTCCACGGAAAACCGCTTACGTTTTTTTTTTTTTTTTGGTCAGGTGTTTCCTTCGCATTCCTGGTCCAAACGCTGGGTTGTCCGGTACACCATGGGACGGCGGTTCCATGGCAGTCTCCAACGGTTAGCGCCGTGGCCCGACTGTGGCCATGCCGTCCCTCCGGTTAGCCGTTTCGGCTTGCGTGTGGAGGCGACCGTTGCAGGGGTCCCCGGGGAGGCGGGCGCGCGAGTGCCGTTGGCGGCTCGTCTTTCGAATGCGAACTGTGGGTGGTATGCGCAGCCCGTCGATTTCGATGATGCAAAACCGCCCACCTCCCACCACCCCGTGCTGGTCGTCTTCTGCGAGCCGCTATATTCGACTCCTCTGCTTCCACGCTTTGTCGTCATCGAAAGTTGGCAGATCTGTGTGTCGTGTTTTGCTGCAGGAGCGCATGGCTGACATGGTGAGGAAGACAGCTCTGCTAATTATCCTGCTTGGGGCGGTGGTGCTGTTCATTGCTCTGCACGCATGCCACCTGGCCGGTGCTCGCATCCGACGTGGAAGGAGGAAGGGGTTGAAGAGGCTTCGACAAGGCGCTTCGGCGANTTTTTTTTGAAGGCTAATTCTTTAAGCCCAGCCTGCGGTGCGGGCGATGCCCGCAAAGAAAAAAAGAAAAATGAACAAAAGAATAAAAGAACAAACAAAAAAAAAAAAGTCAGTCGCAAACCAACTGCTAAATTTCAACACTATTAACGAATTCAAGAAACGGAACACGCATAAAGAGACAAAGAAAGGGAGAGAGAAAGAGAGAGAGAGAGAGGGAGAGAGGAGGGAGAGAGATAGAGAGACACAAATAGAGAGAGACAGAGGAGTAAGAAAAGAAGAATGCGATTGGAATTGCTTGGTCGGAAGGTGTCTGAAGTGGCTCGATCGGTAGGTTCTTGGAGTGGCTCGGTCAGTAGGTGCTTGGAGTGGCTCGGTGGGCAGTTGCTTGGAGTAACTCGGTGTGTAGGTGCTTGGAGTGGCTCGGGCCCTCGGGGTGTAGGTGCTTGGAGTGGCCCGGTCGGTAGGTGCTTGGAATGGCTCGGTCAATAGGTGCTTGGAGTGGCTCGGTCGGTAGGCGCTTGAAGTGGCTCGGTGGGTAGGTGCTTGGAGTGGCTCGATGGGTAGGTGCTTGGATTGGCTTGGTGGGTAGGTGCTTCAGGCTGTCTCTTATACACATCTAGATGTGTATAAGAGACAGGTTCATTGCTCTGCACGCATGCCACCTGGCCGGTGCTCGCATCCGACGTGGAAGGAGGAAGGGGTTGAAGAGGCTTCGACAAGGCGCTTCGGCGAGCAAAGGGATGGGGGATGAAGACAGTCGGGGTTGTTAGGGTTTCGGGATGGGGAGGGGGGGATACGGAGGAGGGAGTGGAATGCAGCACAACGTCCACCACAGGTTTGATCCAAATCTGTATTCACATCTCCCTCCTCACCAACAGCCTTTGCCTGACGACACGACGTGGTCACCCCCTCCATCGACATTGGATCTGGCATGGGGGTCGACACAGACGTCTTACAACACACCAGCACGAGTAGAAAGCACGGGAGGGGGTGTGGGTCCCATGTCCGCATTGCTGGGCGAAACGCGGGGTGGAGGCCGTCTTCCATTCGATTTGCAACTCTCACCGGCGACCACCATGGACGTGTCTAGAACGATCCTCGTCCAGCAGAGTGGACATGGTGGCGGCACCAGCACGCAGACAATGCATGCCATCGACCTTGACGACGGGATGTCAATGCATCGACCGAACCACGTGTCAAGGCCTGCGCCGAGCCAAGCCGGACCTGCTGCCAGCGTGTCGTATCACCAACCTACGGCAGGCACGACCATGCAGGAACGGAGGCCTGATCTGGGCGGTGTTGCGGAATCCCCTCGATGCGTGGAGCGTATTGTCTGCCGCTTCAATAGCTTGCGGGCGACCAGCGACGGTGATGGAGCACGACCGAACGGTGGTGCCAGCGAGGCGGACCGCATCGACGTTGAAGACGGCGATGGTCACGACTATGAGGAAGACAAAGCTTCGGTCAAGGAAGCAGCCTCCAACGGGACGAAAAAGAAAGCTTCCAAAGGTCGTGGGAAAGCAAATGGAAAGGATAAGGAAGGTGATAGAAACGACGAGGGTGGCGGGAGCAGTGCGCGGGGGAACTGGAATTTGAACGAGTCCCTCGTTCTTGTCCGGTGCAAGAGAGACCAAGATGACTACTTTGCTAATGTGGGAACCAACTTTGCTAGAACGAAAACCAAGGACCAGAAGTGGATGGACATCGCTAAGCGGATGGAGAAGGAAGGAGTTCGGCGGGATGGGGAGCAATGTATGAAGAGGTGGGAGAACATATTCGGGTGGTACAGGAAAGTGTGGGACAGGGAGAAGGACTCGAGACTGCAATCGTACTTCCTCATGAGCACGAAAGCACGGAAGGAGAAAGGGTACAGGTTCAATCTAGACCGCACTCTGTATGACGCGATCCACATCATGCAGGGGAACAACCAGGTCGTTCACCCGCCGAATCTCGTGGACGCAGGCAACAGACAAGGACAACAACCACAACTCCTCTCGTCGTCTTCTACCGCGTGTCGAACAAGCTGATGTCCCCTGCCTGGTCGGATCCTCCGTAGGGGACCACCATCCACATTCTTGGCGAGTAGCCGTTATCCCCAAGCAGGTACCCTGTTGTGGACACCCCCCCTGGCAGCAGAACAGGTTCCGCAACGAAGAGCTCGCCCGCCTCCGCACGTCGAAAGAGAGAAGAATTTCTCAAAACCCGCTGGTCGTGGACGCTCCCCAGGTAGCCCATGAACACATCAAGAATCCTCATGTTCAGGTCGACGACGACTTGGGCGACGACCGAGAACTGCTGTTTCCGGTCGTAGTAATTCTCCGATGGTGCAATGGCGGGCTTGTCTACGTACAGGTGCATGCAGTCGATTGCGCCGAAGCAATTAGGGAACCCCTTCGCTCCGAATGCTCGGGTCACCTGCAGCAACCGACGGCCGGTCGACATGGCGACTTTGTCGGGATACGCAGCCAGTATTGCATTCGCGATGTCCATGACGGCCGTCACTCCGGACGACCTGCTGATGCCAAAGCTCGATGAAGCGTTCTCAAACGTCTCCCCGGTGGCCCACGGTACAATGCGAAGGCGACGATAAGGTCTGTCTGCAAGGGCTCGCGGTATTGCGTCAGTCTACGCTCGATGAAAGGACTGCAAGCCTCAACAATGTCGCTGAATATGGCCCTCGACATTCGTAGCTTGTCATGGAAATATTCCTCCGTCGCGTCGTCTGCAATGTCCAAGTCTCGCCACGTCCCACCCGCTCGTCTTTTCATCCACCACCGCGGTGTGTCCCTTGGCCGAACACCAGCAATAATTGCGTTGGACAACAGGAAAGGAGCGTCTGATCGACCGGACGATGTACAGACGTCTGCCAACGCCTAGGCTATGGCTGCCTCCCTCCTTCCCCTTCCCCTCCCCCCCGCCCGCCGCAATCCCTTCACCGTCTCCATGTACCGGCACAAAGCGAGGACAGCACTAACGACCATGCTCTTCTCACTGGTTGACAATCTCCTCGTCGCTGTGGATCGCGCCCACCGCTGTCCATAGCTGGACTACGCTGCGTACAAAAGGCACACGTCAGTGACACGCGAAGCCACGTGCGCACGCGCAATGGTGGATGACTGCTGCGTACACCGTGGAGAACGCGACGGCGGGGAGTCCAGGAACCGATGTAGTCGAAGCGAACTGGCGGGCGCGAAATTTGAATTCGAATGTTTGGGGTCCTCGCGCGCTTTAACTTTCACGGCCGAATGACGCTGCGCGCCCGCGACAGGGCCACGCCGGCCTTGGGGAAATGGCTGGCCTGGGTCTCCCATGTGCCCAAAGCTGGCGGACATGATTTTGTCCGCCGCAACACTGGGTCGGACACTCGCATTCAATTCTCGGTCGCGTTACGCGCAAACGGGGGCATCTGAAACGTAAGGGCGCTAAAGTGTAGGGTTTTCGTAAGTGGTTGTGGAACGAAAAATGGGGTAAGGGAAAACTAATCATATTTTCGTCGTAAGGGCGCCCTTACAAAGTAAACGTTTTCTAGTGGTGTCGAACAAGGCCCTATGTTTTTTTTTAAGGGGGGGGTGTTTTTGAAGCTTCGCTGCGTTCGCGCCTTGCCCTTCTTTTTTTGCACAAATTGAGAATATTGAGATTTCCGTGGAAGACTGCAAACAGGCCGGCGGGAAAGTCGCATGCAGATGTACCGGGTTGGTGGAAGTGTGGATGCACAGCCTGTACTGTCATGATGTCGATGTCAGGTCCCGTCATTTTTCGTTTTTTGGGTCCTTTTCTTTGCTACTGCCTTAATGAAAAATAGCATTGTTTATGCGTTTTTAAATGAGAAAAGAACGCCACACACCCTTTCAAACAATGCTAGTCGGTCCCGGTCCCTGTAGTAGGTGAGTGGGGGTGGGCGGAAATCAAATGCACACCTCTAGCTCATGTGGCCACTGTCCAGCAGAAATCTGGCTATGGTGGAAGAGACACTGGACTAAAATTATAAAATTACAAAATTAGAAAATTTGAAATTCAACATGGCAGTGGTCAGATGACTGGACAGTGGGCTCTATGGAGCCCCTGTCAGGAGATAATGAGAGCTTCAGGGCAGGCTGGACCTAAGTGGGGCTGGTCCACAGGGGGGTAATAATTCAGTAAATCTGGAGAGCGTGAGCCCGGTTCCCAGCACGTGCTGCTCCCGCCTCGGGAATAGATCGGAGCCTTGTGGGGAGACTGTTTCCATTCAACAAGAACAAGCGCAAATCAGGAATAACACCTGGTATCAGATACAGGCAGACTGGTTGGGGAGCACTAAAGGCAAGAAGAAGGGCGATTCGTGGTTCTTGAAAGCATGGGGCAAAGGTAATCAGCTGGCCGC